TCCCACATACAGACCGGTTCCCGCTCACTGGCTGAGCGAGGTGCGGGCGCAACACCGAGGGTTGCGATCCCGTTGCCGGTCAGGTCCGGTACGGGCGTGACACTGAGGGTTGTGATCCGTTGCCGGACACGAAAAAAGACAAAAAGGAAAAAAAAAAGAAAATTATATTCAAAGGGGCCAGCCGGTGGCTCACCTAGGAGAGTGTGGTGCTAATAACACCAGGGCCACGGGTTTGGATCCCTATATAGGGATGGCCAGTTAGCTCACTTGGGAGAGCGTGATGCTGACAACACCAAACCAAGGGTTAAGATCCCCTTACCAGTTATCTTTTTTAAAAAAAAAGAAAATTATATTCAAAAAGTTTTTATTGAACCTGTGCCATTTGCCTAACACGCAGCAGAGTGCCAAAGAAGTTTAAGACACAGCTGTTACCTCCAAGAAGTTTACACAAGAAGATACAAAACAGATAAAACTGTTCTTACTGAGTGCTGTAGATAACAGCTAGGAGCAGTCAGTGGGTGGATTGGAGGCAGAGCTAGTCCCAGGCCACAGGATACAAGTTAAAAAGAGTCTAGACCCTGCTGCAGACCTCCTGCCCCTAATCCCAGGAATCAGTTATTGTGCACACCAATAATTTGAAAACCAACCAGTAGCTTGTGGGGGAGGATGGAGGTGCAGCTAGGGTGGCCCACCAGGGTGTTCAGGGATGGGAAGGGGCTGTCCCCAGGATTCCTGGACCCAGTAGCTGGCCCTTTGCCAGGCATTTGCAGCCACCCCCTTCCCTGCAGGGCCATACTGCTAGGCCCCACACTCCAAGACTAAGCACACAGCTGGTCTGCCCTACAGAGCCCAGGCCATGCAAAATGCTGATGACCACAGAGAGCTCAGAAAGATAGTGACAGGAGAACAATCACTCCTCCTAAGCTTGCAGGAAGGTGGTGGTGGTCACGTTGAGTGTGTTGTTCACTGTTAATTCTGGTGAAGTGGCGTGCCATGTTGTTCTTTAGGCTGTGAACACCAGCCATTCAAGACTGATGAGTCTCCTCATGCCTCTCCTGCCTTCAGTATTTGTGAATTTTTTAGTATCATCCTAAAAAGAA